AATAAGATTTTTCTCGATATGCCAAATGCAGGCACCATGGTGAGAAAGTGGGAACAACCTCGTAATTACCCACTTAATACTCTTTATCACATCCGACACAAACACTAGCTAATTTGAATCATTAACGACATCTTTCAACTTCGCAAAGAACCAATACCACGATATATTTGTTTCCTCATCAACAACACTCCAACCAAGAGGATATATTTGTAGGTTAGCATCTTGCGCTGCAGCTACTAGTAGTGTTCTCTTATATTGGCCCTTCAAATTACTTCCATCAACACAAATTACTGGCCTCATGTACTCTCGAAAATCACATACACTAGGCTTGAACGCTAAGAAGAAGTACGATAACCTATTATTCAAGTCGAGTTCAATGTATGCATTAGTTCCTAGATTTTTCTCGATTAACATTTGATAGTATGATGGCAATTTCTGAAAACTTTCTTCGGGTGTACCACGAAGAAATCAAAATCCCTTCTCTTTAGCCCTCCACGCTTTGTTGTAGGTAATCCGTACACCAAACTCACATTCCATATCCCCAATAATACCCGCAGGAACGTATGATTGGTTTGCATCGTCCAACCTTCGCGTTATATGATGCCCAATTACTGCACTCGTTGCGTGATTTTGTGCATTTCGTCGAACGTCTAGAGAACATGTGTGCTCAGGGATGTACTCTCAAATCTTAAATATTTCTGAAGTTTTTATCTTAGAAGTTCACGCTGGTCAATGGCATGTAGTATCGACACAACACACAGTAAGAGATCTAGGATTCGACTTTTTAACCTTGAAATGAAACTTCTCTTTCAAAGTCTTAAGTTGAAGCCTTGTGTGTAACTGTTGCTTACTAAACAAATCTGATTCTTCACAATGTCCTCTTCATCAATCAACTCAATTGTATTTCGAATAAACAAATTCCCTTCACCTAAACCTTCATCCGTATTATCAATCGTTCGTGGCTCTTATAGTTCGCACATACCAACTTCGTCGCGTCCACATAATGCATCTTCTATTGGCGACAAAGTCTCAACTCTGACATGCAGTTCGTGCTCTCCAACATTATATTCATCTGCAATTACACACAATGCTGCTTCTGTGTGAACAGACATAAACCATTGCAAATCATCATCGTCGGCTACATCAACAGGGGGTATATTCATGTTCGGAACTGTAAATTTCAATTGAATTCGGAACTTCATTCTATCAACATTCAGCTTCTCGAATAATTTATGTACAAGCTCTTCATATGTAATATCACGTCGAACAACAATTGATGTTGTTCGGTTCCCTAACCACTTCCACCCGTCGTCCATGTTGATGAATCTACCACCATACGAGACAACAAATCTCTTAACATCTCTCATACCTGCATGTCATAAACAACAATACTGTCAGCCACTAACAAAAATCGAAAACGAAAATGCTACCTACACGCAATATGTGAAATGCTATACACGAAATTTTCCGGACTTAGTCAAGTTTTTAATGTTATTGTCAACATTTTGCAGTGTCGAAAATGATAGTATAAATATCATTCTCGATGTTTATAAATGTCGTGAATGACATTTATACTATTATTATCGACATTTATAAAATATCGAGAATGAAATGATGGGATTCCATGCATTTATCTTCTTCTTTAGCTTCAACCACCATTTTTGCAAGAATTTATTCCACCAGAAATGATATTCTAAATACAGAAGTATATTATCTAAATAAATTATTTAAGATGAATGGTACAAAAAATATATACTCAGTGTTTGGATAATTTTTTCCATTGAAAGGAAAAAATACCTTATCAAAAAATTGAGATTTGAACATATATAACAACAACAACAACTAAATACAACTTATTAAAAAAATGAGAGTTCAAAGAAATATACTTTCGACCGAGAAATGATGAGAGCCTCATTAGCTTCAAATTTCGACGACAGTAAATTTCTTCACATGAAATAAAATGATTTCTTTAGAGTTGGAATCATATACTTCTTTGTATGTGTTAATGGAATTTATGCTTCTTCTTCATTTGTTCTAGAATAATTGATTAAAATCTAATTAAAAACGTAGGCAAGTGGACTCACCTAGGTAATAGCAACATTATTGTGGCTTCTCATAGAAGCTACTTGCTCTTCTAAAAAATTGTGTCAAATTGATATGAAATTGATTAATCTTTTCATGAGGGTAAAGTAGATAATTCGATATAGAAATTAGACATTTTTGCACGGATTATCAAAATATGACACTTTTCAACTCACACCCCTAAAATTGGACATTCTTGAAAATGCTTCATTTTCAAAATATTTTATTTATTTATTTTTAATTATACTTTTTTCAATAAAATACTATTACGCTTAAATGTAATTTTTTTTCTTATTTTTAACCGTATATCCTTCAAAAAATTATTATTCCAAAATTAATTTTTAATGGAGCCCGGAGGCAAAATAATTGATGAGGGTTGGCATCATTTTAATTTTTAATTAAACCCTCGAATTAAGAGCCTAATTGTCTCTCATTATGGGAGAATTAAAAATGTGTGGTTAAAATTCAATAAAATTTTATTGGTTTATGTATAGAATATTTTATTGTGTAAATATGTGGTAGAGAATATCACTATAACAAACAATTTAATATGTTAAATGATGACAAACAGGTACTGAACTGTTTAGAAATGTTTAAATTTAAATTTCAACCTTTAAAAATCATTTAAAATCAAATTGAACAGTTTATTCAATTTAAAAGAAAATGTTACTTGTTTACGGATTTGATCCATCCCTCGATTGATTATATAGCTCCTATTTGGTGTAGATAAAACTTATATTTCTACTATATTTTGGTAAAATTTGATCGAATATATATTTAAAAAGTTGTTAACCCTGTAAAATATGTGATTAAAATTAATTGTTGACTTTGATTTGAATTTTAATTAAGTGTTTAAGAGCTTGTTTGTCTTTTGTTATGGGAGAAATTATAGAGTTTTGAATAGTATTTTTAGAAAATGTATAGTTAAAGTGTAGCCCCTGTTTGACCCCATTAATTTTCATTCTATTACATTTCATTTTTTTCTCTCTTATTTTTAACCATACAATTTTTCATAAAATAATATTAGACGTAAATCGAAAACTTTTCTTTCTTTTTCAACTACTTATTTAAAAAAAAAAATTCCACCCATTTCCATTTCTACAAAACGGGAGCTAAACGAGGGCTTAAAGAAACTTTATTGCTTAGTGTATTAAATATTTTATTGTGTGAATATGTGGTGAAAAATATTATTATAACAAACAATTTAATTTGTTAAAAGATGACAAACATGGGTTAAGTTGCACAAAATAGAGGAATAGTATCTAAGAACAAAATGCTTAAATATCTTTCATTTTTCTATTGAATAATTAATGTGATTTTTTAGCCAAAATTTAAGAGCTTGTTTATCTCCCATTATGAGAGAAATTAAAAAGTTTAAAATATTACTTTTTGAAGAATGTGTAGTTAAAATTTAAAGAAAGTTTATTGATTTGTCTATAGAATATTTTATTGTGTGATAGAAAATGTTACTGTAACAAATAATCTAATTTGTTAAACGATAACAAATAGGGGCTAAGATTCATTAGGTCAATTTATACTTTAACAAGTTTACTTGCTAGTCGGCTTCTATAAGCTCTTTAGATAAATATGACTTATATAAAGGCTGTTTGGGAGTGATTTTTCAACCAAAAAAATTGATTTTTAATCGTTATTTCACTATTTTAGATGTAAAGTTTGACTTCTTCTCTCACAGATGGCCTCCACTTTTATCCTAACGGTAAAAAAATCAATTTTCAAAATCACTCCCAAATGAGACCTAAATATATTAGTCTGAAGTCATAATACTTATAGTAGAGCCATCTAAAACACAAAGAAGTAATATTTATATCTAAAAGCTTAAAGCAATAAAATAAAACAAACTTCAACCATAAGGGGCTGTTTGATGAAATTTTTTCAACAATAAATTTTGTAACAAAAGTGATTTTTTTTGAAAAATTTGTGATTAAAAATCATTGAAAAGATATGGCTCCATGCACAAAATTATTTTATTGAAAAAATACGTGGTCGATAATGAGTGCAGGCTAAATCTTAATCTTCCAAAATTCATTCTTTTTGTAATACTAGTTTATGCTCCGTGCAATGCACGGATTGCATTATTTTAAGGAAATTATTAGCGTCTTGAATTTTAAGAATTGATGGAAGATTGTATTACAAAATTTTAATAAACAAAGTAAATAATGTTTTATAAAGATGCAATGGTTAATTTTAAATTTGAACAAAGAGGGAGCAGTAATTTATAAGGTGAAATACAATAATGAACTTGAAAATGATGATTTTGTCAAGTTGTTATTATTATCATTTTTTTCCCTTCAATTGACATAGAAATTAAGCAAAAGCTTTCACATGATACTCCAATGTAAGGCAGCAATTGTTTTGACATCAAGTTGTTCTATAACTTTATCCGGCTTTGCTAGTTAGGAAATTGAAATAAACATCTTACTTGAAAAATAAAACATTTATGAATGGATAGATCGGTGTCAATTATATAAACAGAATTCTTCAAATGATGGACTGATCTTTTTTATTTTTCTACATAAATTGAAATTATAAAGAATTCATCGTTTCCAAAAACCATTGAGGAAAGTAGAGGTTCTCAAGAGTTACAGCTACAGTTTTGTCTTTAGACACATCTTCTGTCTTCGCATCTTCCAAGTCCAGATGACTTCTTATTCAAGAAGATGAGCATATGATGAAACATAAAATTTAACTGCAAATCAGTAAACCTTACACATAGAAGAAAAATAATGAAAAAATTATATGTATAAAAAGGGGGGAAAAACATAAAAAAGTAGAGCCAAAAGATGAAAATAACAAAAAAAATTCAGTCAAAGTTCATAAACCGTAAACACATAGTGAACAATATGTATCACCGGTGAAAGAATTATAACAAAAAATCGAAAGAAACATACTACCTCTTATTAAGAAGCACACTCCGTCCATGATAAGCGTCGACTTTTTTTAATGCTTTCTTATGCCATATGTTTAAGCAGCCAAGGTATGTGATATTTGTATCCTAAGAACAAATTAAACTAAATAAATTTGCAACTTAGTTCATAAAGTTTAAATGCACCAAATCATAAAATAAGTAGAAGCATAATACTACAGAAAATTTACCCTTTTGTTTTTTGTGATTTATACTTTTATTGTACCTAAAATCACAATCTATAAAATGACAATGCAAAAAAGAATCATTACAAAATGAAGAATCTTAATGTAAAGTGCATCAATTGATTGAATAGATGCAACAATGAAAACTGAATACAATCATTAGTCGGTAACAAGCTACAGCGTCTATAGTTTTTGGGCACCTTCAAAACGGAATAACTACAACTCAGAGTGAAAAGCGGTGTCTCAAGGATAATTGTTGGTGAGGAAGTCTTTCCTCTTCTATTGTAGCGCCACACGTATAGATGTTACATATCACAAAGTCAACAACAGTGAAGAGAGTCCAAAATTAAACTAACGGTAGTTTAATGTTTGAAATTTCTAACCTTGTGGCCTGCAGTTATAGCTACAATTAAAATTTCTCCTTGGGCATGACAAGCGATGGAAGCTATAGGACAGTCTGTGGGAATAAAAATTTAGCATAGCTACATTAAAGAATTTGAACTTACAAAATAGGTAGATGATTATTGCTAAAACACTTAAAATTAAACGATATTACAAAAATAATGCAATCCTAACTTCCATTTGTAAGAACTTTAGGATATAGCGGATTGAACCTACTTGCAGAGGTTCCATAAACATTGTAGAATAAGGAAAATAAGGTGATGGTAAAAAACATTGACATTTTGAGCTTAAAAAATAGTGTAAAAAACATACTACATAATTAAAAACAATATTTATTGCCAAAACTTTATAACACAATATTATCATAGGCTTGACATCACATGACATGTTCTCTATCTACAACTTGTCTTAGATTATCTAACATTGCGAAGCCACTAAATAAAATTGAAAGTTTGAAACAATATCAATAATAATATTCGATCTAATTGTTTTAATGCAAAGAAAGAAGTTAAACTCCCAAACAAGCATGACATCTTGATTGGTTCCTTTCTTACCTTGCTGGATAAAAAGTGAAACAACCTCGCTAGACCTATTTAAGACCATATGGCTTGGAGTCTTATGTAGTTGTTCATCTACCCCAAAGGTAGGGGTCTAAACATAATATTGGTGCCCTTCCTCTTCATTACTTCCATCGAAGAACCTAGGTAGAAGACTCCTAGTCTCATTGGACAAGCCTGGGTCTTATATTCAATTAAGTGAGTCACACTTTATTCTACAATTGAAATTCCGATTACAAAAATAACATTAAATCCTCCAAAAAAAAATGCATTCTCAGGCACCCCTTAAACTAAACCACTTAATCTTCACTTTATTTACAAAAAAATCATCATCTACTACTAAGGAATTTCACCCCCTCCACATGGAAGAGAACACAATAATAAGTTGTTGAACTTAAAAAAGAAATTTAATTTGAACTAATCTCAACTTTAAAGTTCCCTAAACAAATACTTGACAAATAATAAAAATAAAAAGTATAACAAAAAAAATACAATAGTATGCTTTTATTATTTCTTTTTCTATTTTAAATGTTAATTTTGTTACGCAAAAAAGCTAACAATAATGTGCTCTTAAAGGAATTAGTAAGAGCGGATCTATAAGAAAAAGTACCCCTTTTCTTATTCATGAAAACAAAAATGTACTTTCTTTTTGCTTACCAACAGAAAAACCCGAAATAAAGAAAATCAATCGAGACTGAAGATTAATTAAGGATGGTAAAAACAACAAGCATTCTTGACTAAAAATCCACAATCATCATTTAATTGCAAAAGATGAACCAAAAAGCTCAATCTTGAAGCCTAGCAGATGAAAATTGAAGCAACTTATTAGTTATTCATGAATCAATGGAAGAATTTGACACAAGCACAATCCTAAATAATAATCTTCTTTTCAAAAGCAATAGATAGAGATTTGAAGAAAAAAGAGTGATTATTTGAGTTAAAAAATACAAAGATGTAGTAACTACGTTCAACGTTGATGACTCAACTTGAAGAAGAAATTAGTGTGATTGAAGAACCATTCAAAAGACACTGATTCAGAAATCAAATCCAAATCCAAATCAATAAAGCAGAAAAATCACAATGACAACAATTAGAGGATGAAAATGTTCAACGAAAACCCCCAAAAATTGAAAGAAAAAAATAATCGACATTTATTGTAACCATAACTTACCCTTCGTTCATACTGTTGCTATTCAAATGATGATCTACAGAGTTTCACTTCATCTTCATCTTATCTTCTTCGAATTCGGAATCTTTGTATGGTTGAAATCCATTGCTTCGATATTACGATTTATGGTCAATAGGAAAATTGTGGTTGAAATTTTTACAGATTCTCAAAATTTCCTAAGAGCAATTTTGGAGGGTTAGGGAGAGGTTTTAAAATTGAAATAACCATAAAAATAAAATAGAGGACTTGGGAAACTTGAAATCCTTCTGTAGTATCATAAGAGTCACTTACATATTTAATCTTCATGAGCCGTAACAAATCAGCTTATTTAGCTCATCTGTAAAAAGTTCAAAAAAACAAGGAAATATAAGTGGGAAGTCATGTACTAACTAATCGCAGAAACTTTGATACATCTTCTAAGCCTTCATTTCCTGAAGAAAGGCATCTACAATCATTAATTAAAAGGTCAATAGATACTGGGAAGTCGGCACATGCATTATCCACAAAAAGAAATAGAAAATTTCATCCATGAGTATAAAAATTATAGCAGGAATATCTTTACTCCTATTAAGTATATAGATCAAAAAATAAAATAACAGATGTCTATAATTATATTATTTGATTCATTTGGACTAAGAATACAATAATCTTACCCTTGTATACGATTTCTTAATTCATGATGTGAAATTTAAGTCCTCACATACCCAAAAATGTGAACTTCATTTAATTGCAAAAATCCCTGCAATGAACTTCAAGCAAATCCGAGATTAGCAAATGAAAAAATGTTTCTATTTAAAAGATTCTCGTATTAAGCTTTCACCAAGACTCCTATCAAGTACCAGAAATATAATTCCCCTCAAATGCATATGTGAAGACCATTTACGAAGGTTCATCATTCTTAAGAAATGTACACTTAATACCAAAACCTACCACAAGGTTCATTTCATTCATTTGTTCTACTTGTTCATTCAATTGATCAAATGCCTTGGTCGTAAAGTATTTCCAATAGTTAAGAGAAGTATAGAAGCCAAAAAAATAAATTAATTAATTAAAGTCAAACCTGACGATAAAGGTTAAACAGTGCAGGGAAGGTTTCTTTGTTGGCAAGATCACCAGAAGTGCCAAATATTTGTTATTGAATAACCTACATTTATTTTCATATACAAAAATATTTGAAATAAAAAATTTTAAAGTTATGAATATAAGATTATACTTTGAATTTTGATAAAGGAATCTTACTGTATTTTAAGAATCTTATTGTATTTTGATGATTCGTTAGAATTAGGATAAATGGGGACGTAAAAAATATTCATTCTGACAGATATCTGTTGCGATTTTTTGTCTGTATAAACTTATCTTCTTTGGCGAAACTGATTCCAATGGATATCCAAAAACGAAGCATTTTATGTATTTGAGAAGAAAAACTCTAGAATTTGACCTATAGAAAAATAGTTTGAAGTTAGATTATGCTAATACTGTAAATATAAAGTAAAATTAAATATCATGGTAAATTGTTGAGATGTTTACCCAATCTTTTGACAAGGTAGATACGGTATGATTTTTAATTGCATACGTTTATTTCTATGTTTTCTTAAACTAGGTTTGCTAGAGAAAATGTCTGCAAAGATTAATAATGATTCCACTACCGTCAATACTGGTTCTGCACGTGCTCTGATTTCTTCCGATGTATGAATGTTGTGGCTGCAATCATATATATGAAATTTCAACTTTCGAAAATCAACAAGAAAAAGAAACCAAGTGTTGCCTGAATATGCTGATGGAATTAATAAATAGTTGTATGTTATCCACGATCGAGCAGATACAAGCAATTCTCCTTTTATGTATCGTTGTAATGCGTTGAAATTAGTTGTAGAATGATCAATTCCTTCTTTCGTATTTGTATACCAATGAACACATTCAGTTTCGAATCTAAGGTTCATGATTGCATATTCTTTAGAAAGCAGAGGAGAGCCGGCGGTAATAAGTCTTCTCAATAGTTTTAATTCTACATCAACATGCTAGTAAAAAAATGTAAATTCGATATATGAATAATGGAGAAAAATGAATTATGATTATTAAATTTTACTTACCACAATATTTATATTTTTTGTTTCATCTAGTATATTTTCTAGCGATTGTCTTCCGTATAGATTGTCGATTCCATCGTTCCAATATGCACCGCATAAGAAAATTTTAATTAGTGTTAAATGAGTAAAATACAAATTATAATATTTAAGTTAGCAACGTAAAATTGAATATCTTACCCCAATGGATTTTGTAATAGCCATTCTCTAATGTTTTTGTACTTGTTGAAGGCTTCTTCAAAAGTATTAGTTGGCGTTGTTGATGAAGATTGTGTTTGTTTTTGCTTACTTTTTTTTTTGTTTCATCGACCTTTCCACGTCTTCAGCATGATCAGATGCTAAAGGGATTTTGAATTCAATTGGACTTGTACGAGGCGGCACATCTCATTGTATAGAGCTGACAATCGTTTCCATGTGTGATTTCCAATCGAATAACTTATTCTGCATACTTTGATTTTGTTCATCAATGTAAGATTTGACTGAACTGAAACTGGTATCCACATAAGATTGCATGCTATGGAAATAGTTTTGTTAGCTTTTTTGCTGATGTTCAAAAAATTATTTTTGATTATCAAGAATTATTTGGCAGTGAGCTTCTTGCATTTTAAGAATTGTATGCTAGCGAGTTTCTTGTTTTGTTGATTTTTCAATCATTTGCGTTTTTAATTCGTCATAGAAACCAAATACATCTGACAGTACTTGTTGTCCCGTATATGTTGAACATCTGATCCATATCTTGTCTAATTACATAGTGTGAGCTATCAGAAGAAGTAGATCCAATTCTAGCTGAAGTGCATATAGTTGTTTCTTGCATATGTATGTTATCAGCTGGAATTTGTTGTGTTATATTATTGGATTCACCATTGACAATGCCGTCTAGTATACGGTGCTGGTTGTCAGCTGGTATTGAAAGATTTGTATACCAAAATGTTTCTAATTCTTCTTCTGTAGGATTCAATGCTGCAATTACTTTGATCTATAATTGTAATAAAATATTAGATTTATGTTTTTAAATTTATTTATAAATAATTAAACACATATTTAATTGTAAATTGAAATAAATCATACCTGTTGAGTAGCCAAAAATTGTTTAACGATTTGTTCTGTTAATACTATTTTGGACTTACATTTATGCATTTGTGGAGACTGGAATCTTGTACGGATACGACGTCCGAATTGTTGTCAAATTTCAAGAAAAGCTTCATATATCCAATACTGAAATAAAAATAAAAAATATATTAAAGTTTTTATATGATTAAATTATATGTAACATGGAAAAATAAAAGAAAAATACTTGGAATGCAAGTGGATAACCATGTAATGAATATTTACAATCTGTTTGGTCATTTTGTTGCATCATTCGTATTCTTACAAAGTGTGATTCTTGCAATGAATTTAATAAAACAAAGTATGCTTTATGTCCCACGGATACATAAGACATCAAGTTGTTCAACCATTCCAAGGATTCTGAATTCGATGTGTCTTCCATTTGGTTTAAAACGCATTCGACAAATATAATTAATCCTAACTTGAATTTATCTTCTCGATCTTGACACATATGAAATACTTTAGAAAGTCTTTTCATAGTAATTCTTTTGTACCATTGAAGTATTTATCCCTAAGTCGAGTATTACTGAAATTAAGATCAACACCAACTTCATGACATGATAATCCAGTGATTAGACAAAATTCTTGCATGCTAAAACGGGCCACATGATCGTCTGATCATATCCAAACTTCATTATTTTTGCCTCAATTGATAAGTCTCATTATGAACTCGTGTATTAATTTGCTACTAAATATTTCATTTTGTTCTTTATACATACTTTCATAGATAAATCCGTGAAAGTGATTGCATAGTAAAGAGGATTGATCGCCTCCATCTATAAGTTCTACAAAATCTTTAAGGTATTCGTGATTTGTAAATTAAGTAATAGTAGCAGAGAACCATTGATTTGAAGATAATATGTATTCTAACAACATCTGCAAAAATTATTTATTAATCATATATATATATATGAGGGAAATCTCATATAAATGATCTAAAAATGCAAAAAAAAAGTATAATAATATAAAAGTAGACATACTATTCATATGCATGAACAACACAAATATGACTTGAATTAACTAAACCCACAAAAATTCAACAATGTTATGAAACAAATTGACTTCAGCATGAATTTCATCATCAATTATAGGTAAATTTGGTATTAGAAAGCACTAATTAAATAGAGAAATAACAAACCCAACCTAAATGATATTGAAAAGTTGTTGCGACAGCTAAATGGCTCTGAGATATTCTTCTCCACCAGCTGGCAGGAGAATAGTAGTATAAATAAATTTATGGGGGCAAAAAACTTTATTATAGTACTAATTTGAAACCCCTATGAAAGTGCAAAATAAGCATTTGTATTTAATCTAAAAATCAAAGACAGAGAGAAAGTGTGTATGTGTGTTTTAATTTCTCATTGCCCTAAAATCTGATCCATGTTCTTGTCCATAATAAATATTTACCAATTATGTATTGTGAGATAGAAATTATTAGAGGGGGTTGTTTATATCTGCTAAATTTATCTGTTTTAATCCAAAGTTGAAACTAATTGATGCAATTCATATATTTCTATTTCCCTATGAAAGTGCAAAAGGACAAAATTAATAATAAATTAAACGAACCTGCAGTTAGCAAGCTTCATTTTGATTCATTGCTCCAACACCTACTTCTCCATTTTTAATATCACACTCTCTTTTCCACCACTCATTGTCTGAAAAGTCCGATAATTTTCATCAATCCCATCAAAACACCTAACCTTCTTAAATCCCAACATTTCATTTCTCTTTCAAAATTTCACTTACTTTTTTCATCTCAATCAAATAAATTGAGAACTAAACTAAAACTCTGCCAAAATTTTGGAATTTTCTTTAAATAAAAAAAAATCATGGGACGAAACCTCTACACTAGAAAATATTTCCTAAACCCAACTTTTCATTTCCTATGTCAAGAATCATGCATGAATTAAACTTAGATAAATCAATTAATTGTTAAATAAATATAATTCATAGAATGAATATTTAACGTTCGAGTCATCCAAACGGCTTAAGATTTTCTAAACATGAATGAAAACATATGTATAATAATATGGGAGCATATGAATGCAAAAACATGCAAGATGATGAAGAAAAAATTCGGGTGAAATGAGTTTCAAATCTGAAAAATTGAATGATTAATTCAAAAAACTTTTGGGCTGATCAGCAGTAACCACCAGCCCATCGAAATTGTCAAAACAGTTCCAAAAAGTTAAATGTGAAAACGTGGAACTCAACTATGAACAGTAACTATTGGTAAGTGTCTTTTAAGGTATAGGGATATTACACTCTCTTTTTCACCCCCATTGTCTCAAAACTCCGGTAATTTTCATCCATCCCATCAAAACACCTAACCTTCTTAAATCTCAACATTCCATTTCCCCTTCAGAATTTCACTTACTTTCTTCATGTCAATCAAACAAATTGAGAACTAAAATAAAACTCTGCCAAAAATTACAAATTTTCTTTAAATAAAAAAAATCATGGGAAGAAACCTCTAGATTAGAAAATATTTCTTAAACCCAACTTTTCATTTCCTATGTAAAGATCATGCATGAATTAAACTTAGATAAATCAATTAATTGTTAAATAAATATAATTCATAGAATGAATATTTAATCTTCGAGACATCCAAACGGCTTAAGATTTTCTAAACATGAACGAAAACATATGTATAGTAATCTGGGGGCATATGAATGCAGAAATATGTAAGATGATGAAGAAAAAATTCATGTGAAATGAGTTTCAAGTCTGAAAAATTGAATGACCGATACAAAAAACTTTTGGGCTCATCAACAGTAATTACCAGGCTATCAAAATTGCCAAACCAGTTCCAAAAAGTAAAGTGTGAAAACGTGGAACTCAACTACAAACAGTAACTATAGGTATAGGGAGATAATAACACGACAAACATCTGGGCCATAGACCCTATCCAGAAGGTAAACATCAATTTTAAAAGGTTTGGAAAGCTTCTAATATCAGGGATTCTAAAGAATTATAGTAAAGGCCATATTTTTTTAAACATATCTAATTCCGCATAATAGTAAAATAAATTTGAACTCTTTTGTTGGATTTTCGTCTAATTATTAGATGTAGCTTTTTCCCAAAAAATTATACCTACTATCTTAAACACATAAAAGAATGTAGTGATGTTGCATTTTTTTTAACTTTAAAAATACGAGGAGACAAAATATGACCTAAGGAAACCAATTTATCCAATACTTTCCAATAAATATGAAAATTCATTTACAATTAAATAATCATAAAAACCCTACTTAAATAACAAAAAAAATCAAAATCCATTTCACATCAACCTAAAAATCAAATTATCCCTTACCAAAAAACTAAAAAAGAAACAGAGAAAAATAATGGGGGAAAAAACCTTGGGCTTAAGATCGGAGTCAAAGTTGAACTTCTAGTCCCCAACTTGAGCTCAGAATCCTAGACTTCAGTTCTTTCATTGGTTCAATTTATAATCTCCGTCGGGATTTGTCTTTCTTCTTCTGTTAGGGCTTCGTTTGGTTTTGGAGAGAAAGAAATTAGTTAATTTCAAATGAGAAGAGTTAACTCAGTAGCCGTATGGAGTGAGAGAGAGAGAGAGAGACAATGTAGTCTTTATACAATAGATATTTAATGAGTGGCTGTTATTGTGGTTTGTAGATATTTTCTAGAAAGTATGAATAGTAAAAAAGAAGAAGAAATGGGACAAAAAGTTGACCTCTAAATGAACATTGCTAAACCTGTTAACAATGTGAAATGGGGTGCTTTTGTAATTTCAATTTTAACAATAATGGATTACTATTTTAAGAACTGGATATTTTTACGAACTCGATTACTTCTCTTTGTTTAGGGTAATCTTTACGATTCATAATAAAAGCTACAACAAATGAACTTTTTAAATATGTTTTCCTAACTCAACAAAATAGCAAGCTACTTCTTTGTACGAAACATGTTTGTGTATAATACTTTTCGCAAAAAGTTATTTATTTTAAAGTAATTTTTACATAAAAAATAAGTGACTTACAAATTGTAGATTTTTAGTTAATAAAAAAGGTTATTTATAGTAAAATATATTTTACTTGTAAGTAAAATTTTGAACTTTAGTCCAACCTGCCATCAATTTCAGATAGAAAAGGAGAAGAGAAAATTATACGACGGGGTGGCCTTGAGCGGTATTTAGTAAAGAAAGAGGAAGCTGCAAAACCAAATAAACAACTAATCAATAATCAAAACTTTTATTCTATGATTTCAAAAATTAAAACAAACCCTATAATATGCAACGAATATTGACTGATTATAAACAAACATCAGAAATGTGACTTTCTTAATATTATGGGATTGTAGTAGATTGAGACATGGAAGTTTGGTTGAATAGGTTGGGTTGTTAGAAATGTGATTTGCTTAATGTTTAGGGCTTTCGAAGGAGACAATTTATAATACTAGAAAATGAATTCTATGTTTAAATGGATATAATATCAAAATGGGATTGAAATAATTTTTTTTAAAACAAATGTTAAATTTTGTTTGGATTTCATTTATTTAGATTTAGGTATTTGAGATTGTACCTAGAATACAATTGGAGAGTCTTTTTGGTAAGATTAGTTATATAGTGTGAAGTTCAAATATTTTATGAAAAGATTCGAGTATCTTTAGTTTGACAAGTAGTTTAACTGGTTAAAAAGTTTATTTACATGAATATTTTAATTTTCTTGAAGTACAATATGCAAAATATAGTTAAGAAGTTGAAGTGAGGATAATTAGTGGATAGTAGTAACAGGAGGTTTTAGTCGAATTTATAATCTTAGATTAGATATGGAACCAAAACAAGACAATAAAGTGAATTCAATACAAAAAGAATAATAAATATGTATGCATTTGCATAAATATAAAATAAATTTTCTGTAAATTTAATTTAATTTTT